TTAGTCAAAATTTTTATAATTTAAAACTCCTCATCCCGCCTGAAGGCACAAAATTAAAATTTACATTAGAAACTTTTTTCAGCCCTTTTAAAGTTTTTTATGGAACACACTAAAAAAAGTTGAAAAGCTAAATTATTATATATAGTTTAATTTCTAAGTTTAACTATTTTTAATAATTAACATTATCACTTACCAATTAATTGTGGTAATTTATTTCTTTAGTAACAGATAAGGCATTGTTTTAGTTTTCATTGGATATAAGGCTCCTTCGTGATTTCTTTGGGTGCTCTGTACCGAAAAAGGTCTGCTGCAACTAATACCCCACAACATGCGGTGTCTCGAATTCACTTTTGTGAATTCGTTTTTTTTAGTAGCATAGGGATTATTTGCTTTTAGAAAAATATCCGAAATTATAACGTGTTAATTTAATGAAACTTAAAAAATGCAACCGAAGCTCCACCTACATTTCTTTATTTGAATCTTAGATTTTTATCTAAATATGAGCACATTGTTTGAATTTCTAAATTACTCATTAGCGAGCACACACGGAATTTCTTTTTGTTAGATCTACTCAACCCTGCAGTAGTATTTATTTAATTATCTCGATTGTTAATTGATTAATCACTTCGAAGTTGTAAAGTAAGTTAGAACTAATTATCGTTTTTGTTGTTTTCAAATTCGGTTAACGTATCAATTAGTTTACTTATTTTAAAGGTTTCGCGCAATTTGTAAACCTAAATTCTGATGTTGCAATCTTTTAATAAGAAATGGATTCTTTCAGAGCTATTTGTTTTAAATAAAACGATAAAAGTGTTTTACAAACATAGTCGGTTTTAAAATGAAGTTCTAGTATAATGTGAATAAAAAACGGCAGTAATTAAAAATAATTCACCTAATAGAATAATAAGTAATAAAAATTAAACATGCACGTTCCTTTTTAAATTATTATAAAATTGATGAAACACTAACGAATTTAAATAAAATACACAACACTGAGCTTCATCATAATTTCTTCTTTGGGGAAACCAAGTTTGTTGCCTTTGAACTGTCGATTCCCAAAGCTGAAGATAGTAAACGTACAACGCTTTTCACATCGGAGTTTTCTGCCTCTAAAATTAATAAAAAAACGATAATTATGTCATGGTTCAACAAGTACTTTTAGTTAGCTTTAACTTCATCTAATTTTTTTTTATAATTCCCTACCACAAAATTCGTTAAAGAAAAAGGAAAAAAAATGAAACTTAAAGAACAACAACAAATGTATTTGCAATAAATACCCTCTGCTGTTATCTCTTTTTCCAATTTAAGTTTTTCTTGGTTCATTTGCCACATGCCTTCCTCAATGGTTCCCTGAGATATTAACCGAATAACATTAACTGGATTTTGTTGTCCCATTCGATGACACCTGTCTTCTGCTTGTTTATCATTATATGGATTGAAATCTATATCGTGAATTATTACAGTATCCGCAGCTGTTAAATTTATACCTAAACCGCCAGCTTTGGTTGATAATAAGAAAATAAATATTTCGGGATCTTGCGTGAATTGGTCTATAAGTTGCTGTCTATTGAAAAAAAGAAAATAATAATAATGATAGTAGTTTCAAAATTATATGTTACATTTCAATGATTTACTCGCCTTATATTAACTGGGGTACTTCCATCAAGTCTGAGATATGAATGATTACGAACACACAAATAATCTTCCATGATATTTAACATAATTACATATTGACTAAAAATTAATACTCTGTGGCCTCCAGCTTTTAGAGTTGGCAATATTCTGTCTAAGAACAGGAACTTTCCAGAAGTTGTTATCAAGTTATCTGCTAGTTCAAACTTTTTCAAACACTGTAATAAAATATTTTTTGTACTCGTCCCTCTTTTTCTTATAAACACACTGCAGTATGGCAAAAATTTATATTCAAAAACTAAAGTGAATAAAGAGAAAACACGAAATTTTTACAAACTTTACCCTGAAATTTGAGATTAATATATCTATTAAACGTAATTTTTACCTGAAATTGTTTCGTTAATGAAAAAATTTCAAAATCAGACATAAAAACTAAATCATCCACGATGTATTGGACCACCGTATCCTTGTAACCCGGATCTTTAGCCAACAACTCGGCAATTTCCCTTAAATCATCTATCTGGTAAAAATAGCGCATTAACAGTGGATGATTCGCTAATTTTCTAAGGTCAGTCATCATCGCCATACCATTATAAGCTGTTGAGACATATTCCTACAAAAAAGAAAATAAAAACATCACTCCTTAGTAGGTACTACCCGCAAAGAAAACTTATTTACTTGTTTTCCAATATTTTGAAATGACTGTACCAATTCTTCGTATTGTTCTTTTTGTGTGGGCACCATCGGAACAAATTCAACTTTGTCTGATTTATTCGGCAAGTCTTGGAGGACGTCTCTCTTCAATCGGCGTAACACAAACGGTTTCATTATACGTTTCGCCTGTTCGATCTGTTCTTTTTCAAAAGTCGGTAAGTCTTCTCTATCTTCTTTAGTTTTCTATAAATATAATACCAATAAAATAATTTTGGGCATTTATTTCAACAAGAATAACTCACAGCATTCTTTTGGAATAAAGATTTTAGATCGTCGGTTTTCCCTGAGAACATTGAAGGCATCACAAAATTTAAGAGAGACATTAATTCAAGCAAGTTATTTTGAAGGGGCGTTCCCGTCAATAACAGTCTTTTCATTGCCTAAAATAAATATAGTCAGGGTTAACAAAAATATTTTTTTGAGATAAAGCTACACATCAATCAAATTTACCCTTATTTTAATCAGGTTTTCATATCGTTGAGTATTCATATTTTTAAGCATGTGTGCCTCATCAAACACAACGTAATGCATTTGCATTGATTTGAACATTTTTCTCTCCTCAGACGTGTTAGTGACCATACTGTACCTGCACATGGAAAACGGTTGTAAACGAGTTTTCTAGAACATTAATTATGCTTACGTGGTCACAATTACATCGTAATTGTTAATTTCTCCCCTATTCCACCTCATACGATACTGTCGACGTTCTTCTATGTTACCATAATACATAAATATTCTTAAAGTAGGACACCACCGTTCAAACTCCGAACGCCAGTTATCTAAAATTAAAAATAAACATTTGCACCTATTTAACACTTCACCTAATTCTGATTTTACACGAAATTTTCTTAATTATTTTGATTTACCACTAGTTAAAAAATCAGTTCAATTCACTTCTTACATTTTTTTTTACTGTCTAACATAATCGATGAGTTCACCTTTCTATAATTACTTCGGACAATTTCGTAATTTTTTTTATGAAAACATATATCACTTTTAAATTGACAAAATCTGCTGCATTTTCAGTTTGTTCAATTTGCAGAGAAGCAGTGTAACTTTCTAAAAACTTGTTTTGCTTGAATTCGTTAAGAACACATCGACCATGTTAAACCAAAATTAGATATATGTATGCATCAGAATATAATTTTATACTGTCTTGTTGTAGCCCTTTATTTAAATATTTTTTTATAAAATTTACCTAATGTAGAAGAAGGAACTATAATTAAATGCGGAATGCCTACTTTCGACGCTCTTATTTCTTTTAAATGCGCTAAAAATGCTATAACTTGTACGGTTTTTCCTAAACCCATTTCATCAGCTAAAATCCCATTAACACCCTGTATATGCATAACTGCTAGCCAGTTCAATCCAACCATCTGATAACTTGTTAATTTTAAACTAAAACAAAATTATAAACATACATCAATTATATTATAATTTGTTTTAACTTACGAACTGTTTAAAATTGACGGTTGAACTTTAACGCCAGCCCCAGCGGCAACTGCCCTTTCCATCTGCTGTGACAGGTTTGTACACTTCCTCATTAATAATCGAATATTATTTCGAGTAGCAAGTACTTGTTGTGCCGAATTAAGCAAATCTGGGCTGAGGTTTTTATTATTTTGTAATTTTTGAACCTGTAAAAATACTATTACTAATGCTTTGAGTTGTCTTAATTTTTAAAAATATAATAACAGGGTACTTCATGACGACCTTCGTGAAAAGTATATCGGGAAACGAGTAAGTTGGGAACCTCAAATGCAATTAATATTAAAAAGAAAATAAACAAGGAATACTAAAATGTTTTCACAAAGTCTTTACTGCTGTAAAATTATTGTTGCCAAAATAATATTATAGAGATAATAAAAAAACTTTGTGAAAGCATTCCAGTGTTCTTTATTTTATTTTAATTACTCATGTTTCACAATTGTATCACCACTGAAATTTTAAATTATATTAATATTCTTCTGTTAGTGCTTATTAATCAAAGGCATTGAGTGCAAATTTCAAATTTCTTAAATACACAGAAAATGTTTAAAACATGAGTATTTTTCTTGATTTTTTTAAGGGAATATTGTAAGAACTTACTAAATCAATCCAGCCTTCAAAAGGTCTTAATTCAATGATAATATCTGCTTTCTTTTTTGAACAATAATTCATCAGTTGCAATTCATTATTAGTTGCTGTTTGAAAAAAGTCTAAAACAGTTCTTTTATCACCTGTTAAATCATTATTTATTTCGGCATCCGACTCTTCATCACTAGAATAATACAATTTACAAAGAAAAGTACTCAAATTACACAATTTGAAAAAACTTACCTATCAAACACTCGACTATCTTTGAATTCATTTTTATCATAATCACTTTCTTCAGTGTCACTATCTTCATCTGATCTCATTTGTTTTACTGAAAAGTAGAATAAAGTATTTATTGAGAAATAACTACCTTTTTTCAATAACAAATAAGTTAGTAAGGATAATAAGTTACAAAGAGAATCTTCGGTTTAAAATTTTATTATCCTTATAACTTACTTCTTAAATATATTAGTCTTTGGCCAACTGCTTAATATTTTTGGATTAATTATTATTAATTAATTAGGCAACTTATCAAAAATCTATAATTAAACGTTTTGTTGTGACTTTCAAAAAACATTTCAAACATTTTTGAAACTTGATAAACTAGAGCCAACCTACATTTATGTACAGAAAGAACAACATTAATTTTCTTTTTACATACTTCTTTTTCTATTTTTGCTTTGCAAATCTTGAGTGTTTTCACGTTTTTTATTATCATTATTATTTGAAACAGGCAGCTGTTTCAATGTTATGGGGGGTTTAGGCACCGTTTGTTGCTGTAATTGTTTCCATGTTTGATAATTCACACCTGTTACACAATTTGCTCGCGATTTATTGAGCTCTTCTATTGCTTTATCAACATCAAAATCAAATCTAGACAAGACATCATGAAGTACCTAAAATTTTAAATGCACAGAGACTTGCAATATAAGCTAATTTTTATGGCTTACTAATGAATCTACATCGTTGAATTTTTCCTTCAAAAATTTCATTTGTCTTTCACGTTCTAAAACAAGTTGTGGTTTTTGCTTGGATCTAGGATTGTTTGTAACCCCATTTTGAGCACTTTCAACTTCTTTGGAGGATCTTACTTTTTGTTCCTCAGATGATAACAGATATTCCCTTATTATAGGCACTTTTTTCGTCGAAATGCTGTTAGAGGAAGTGGTTGTAGTTGGATCCATTTCCTTACCTACTTCTTTTCTTACTACAACATATCTCCTGCTACCTTCAACAGCTTCTAATATTATTTTTGTTTCTTTCTCTTGATCATTACATTCAGATGCTACAATTAACATATTATATAATTACATGTTTAATTACTAAATAAAAAAGTACCTACATGATGAAACTTCGTGTGAAAATGATGGTTTTTTATGAATACGAAACTCACGTAAATTAAGCAAATTAGGGCTATTATCTTCAGCCATTCTGGAATCGCAAGATCAACATTTAAAAAAATTAATTAATAATTTACTGATCACTCCATAATTAATAACAAATTAAAATACAATGTCTAATTACTTAAATAGAACCTCAAAAAACTTTCTATAGTGAAGTCAGGTGTGAAATGAAGAATTAATAGATATTGACATCAAGTAGTAACCAAAAAAGCGTTAACCGGTAACGACATTCAAATTTGAAATAATACCTAATTTAAAAAACAACAGGAATTTATTAAAAATTACATTCTGAATAGTAATGTTTATTATTTATTTTTTATTATAAGATGAATAAAACAAATTTAAGTTTTGTTACTTTCTCATCTTCACTGATGAGGACAATATATTTATCTATAAATTAAAGATCTTTTTCTTTTCAGGATAAACTTTTTAATTTTTGTGTAAAGTGTGTAATAACGCACTTGAAGGGGTTACCAGTAACTTTTAAAGATCTCTTTATACGGATCACTCTGTATATATTTTCATGTTACACAGCCACAACTTCATTTTAGTTTGTGATGTTCACGCCAGGTGGGCCTGTCGTGGTGTTTTTACGCGAAAATATTAGGGTTTCACAACACCGGTCATTAATTTACGAATTTATTAAGTTGTGTAAAAAATGGCCAGCTTTGCAAGAAGCTTACGAATCCTTACGAGGAATCCGGTCTTAATTCGTTCATTTTCATCGAAGCCCCATGTCGTTGTTTTACGCAAAACCTTAAGTGTTCCTTCATGTCTCACCAGTAGCAGTAACAAATTAGAAAATCACGTAAGTAAATAAATTTCGCCTAATTCATTCTAATTACTTGATCCTGCTTTAATTTCTGAGTTATTTTTAAATATAAAATTGAAAAAAAATATTACATAATGTCAATTTAACCTCACTTTCATATTAGAGTCAAGTGCGATACTATTGCCCCGAAAAAAAAAATGCTAAACAGTCAGAAGATGAAATTAGACAACGCGTTCTCAAAGTCTGTGCTTCTTATGATAAAGTTACTGCTGATAAGGTAATTATGAAGATTATTTTCTATTTTACAGACGCAGTATTTGCAACAAGAGAGAGGTTACAGTTCGAAACCACCTTTATCTTTAAATATGATTAGTGAACGCGTATTGTTGGTCCTTAAACTTTATGATAAAATCACCCCAGAGAAGGTAATTTTTCTCTTGTAGCATATATGCAAATAAAAAATCTTATTGTGCTCATTTGGTTATTTTTGTGTAATTAAATATTTATTGCAGCTCTCCTTGGAGTCTCATTTTATTAATGATCTAGGGTTGGACTCCTTAGATCACGTAGAAGTGATAATGGCAATGGAGGATGAATTTGGTTTTGAAATTCCAGATGTTGATGCCGAAAAGCTTTTGAGACCAGCAGATATCGTTAGATATGTTGCAGATAGAGAAGATGTGTATGAATAATTTATTTGGCAGTAGATCTTGCTAAGTTTGTAAAATGTTCTTTTTAATATTTATGTGATAAAACAATTCAATGCCCTGTAGATAAACATAGACATTTTGAAATATCCTACAAATGTTATTGAAAATTCAGTGTAAATCGATGAACAGAAATATAACCTTTGATTATAAATAATGTAATACTTTTCATTAGTAATTTTGTATCAAAGATAATGTTTGTTTTATTTCTAATCAAGAATAATCGTATATTGCAAATTAGTAATAAAAACTTTTTGCATGTAGTGTTTTATATTAGCTCTACTTTTTAGTATAAAATGCTAGATAAAGGTGATAAACTTCTTAAAAATATTACATTGTGGTTTTTCAAAAAACACCTGTTTGGAAAAGGCGATCAAAATTAAAAAAAAAGTTCAGAGGGCACTATGCTCCTAAAAACTTTAAAGAGAGTTTTGAGTAGGTACTTTATTTAAAGAAAAACTCATGTTAGTTTGGTGTAGTATTTACTTGTATTGTTTATTCACATAAAACTGCGAATCATTCAACAGTGTAAAATTTATTAACAAAATAGTTTGTCCTATTTACAAAATATAGTAAGTACATTGTATTATAGAGTACTTAGAATAAGTATTGCACTGTGCTTTATGAAAAAAATGACATCTAATAATTACCATTCTAAGGTTTTCTTTCACCATTATTTAGCTCCGATGATGTTTTTAAAATAGCTTTTATTTTATAATTTTCTGGTACCTTAGAGTAAATGGTAGGCGTTGGTGCTGCATCTGGTACTAAACTTTTTAACACTATCGATACTACTGACCACGGGAATACCCTGAAAACAAAAAACAATTGAATAAATAACAAAGAATAGGAAGACTTTTTCGTATTTGTTCTGTGGGGATTTTTTACAGATAACATATTTTTACGATTATTAATAAAACGTAGTGAAATTATTAAGTAATATAGTTTTTAGTTTATTTCTATGACCCTGGCTAAATGTTATTGTATTCTATCTCCTATGGTTTGTCAAAAAGCATTGCAATAATTATTTTTCTGTTGTCATTTTTGTGTTAAGTAGTGTTGTAGGAAATTTGATGTGTAAAGTTTGCATGTGTAGGTATGTTTATTTTTATTAATGAGTTTAAATTGATTAGATATCTTTACCATTTCGATTTAAATAATTCGAAATGCCTATCTGTAAGCAGTAAGAAAAAAGTTTTTAAATGCTTTGTGCGAAGAGAGGTTGTTTTTTTGAAATCAGAATAGTGGTTTAATTGGTTGTGGACATGTATGGATAAGTTGTCGGTTTTTTAATATTTTGGAGGATACATAGATATCTTGATAATGATTTTTTAGGAATATTCGATTTAAATTGGCTTGCTTGAAGTTTAAAACAAGTCGACCATGTTAGTATATATAATTATAGTGACATGTTGTTAAAAACAATATTGCGCATGCCTGGAAATTGCTTGTTGTATCTTGCAGTCGAAGTAGTCAAGATAAAGTAACACTTTTTTTTTATGTTTTAATCGTTTAATCGTATTGTTTAGTTTCCATCTAACGCAGTTTAAGTCGGTATTAATTGGTGTAGATGTTTAAACAGTGAATATTAGCTTTGGTAAGCGAAAGGTATTCCATTTAAGTCAATAATATTGATCAGAAAAGATGGATACTTTTAAATTTGTTTGAGAGACTGCTGTAGGTATGTTTATTGAATGCATGTGTATGCTAGTTTACAAATTACACAAAAATGACCGAACTTTAATATAAAGTATTTCAAATACCTATGAGTATGGTTAGTTTAACTATACACATATCTAGACAAACAGTAGTTGTAAATTTTAATTTTTTAAAACAGGATATTGCACACCAACAGAAGAAAGTATGGCTTTCCTTCTTAGATTTGAATTACCACCTCAGTAGGAAGCATTTGGGTGATAACTCCATGGAGGGAGTGCCGAATTTTTCTTCCTGATACCTGTATACGACTTTTCTGTACCCCTGTCCGGAAAATATGATTTTTCATGATTTCAGGGACGTAAAAATGTAACATAACCTCCAAGTAAAAAATCAAACTTACTGTTTACTAGGAAAGCATTTTAACGTTCTACACGTGGAAATAGCCACCTTAGCGAGGGTAGCAAACCACACGTAAGATGGTAAAATACTTTTCTAATAAATAATAAGGCGATTTATTACTCAGAAGCTTATGTTGCCCTTTTTCGTCCCTGAAATTAGGAGAAATGGTAGTTTCGGGAGAGAGTATGGTAAAACATAGTATAAGTACGGGCCTTGGGAAGAAAGCAGAGGGCATCCCCTCATGGGAATTTACCGCCTTCGCCTTCACCTTGGGTGGTAATTTACACCCGGCAAAATACGTAATATATTATTTTAGTAAAATTACGTTGGTGGTGTCTCCAGCTTAAGAAAAGGTACTTTAGCTTTTTCAAGAAAACGTAGAGGTATCAGGTCTTGGTATTAATAACATCATTGTGCTAGAAATAATAAATAACTTAATATCTAATTTTAAAAGTTAACCCCATTTTAATGTAGAAAATAAGAACACAAACACAAATCACAAAAATTATTGTACCACAATGCACATTTCGCCACACACTGGCTTCTTCAGGTGGAAGAAGTATTACTTAATACAATAAATATCTTTGTAACTTGTGTTTATTTTCTACATTGAGAGGTTTACCTTTGATTGTGATGTTTTTGTTACAAATTCTAACTTGTGCTATCAAATTTAATATCCAAAATTGTGAAAATAAAAAGATGTTAAATAAATGAATAAATAAAAATTTAACGTGGTAAAAATTCATAATTTTATAAAAATAATAAAGCTGGTAATTTTCACAATTTTCATTTGGACCACAACTATTGTTTCGCCAACACAGTATTTTTTTCAAGTCGAGTGTTGTACTCCACTTGAAAAAGAATAGGAATTTTAAAAATTACGAATTTTATTATTTTTAAATATTTAACTTATTTGAATACTGCAAAAGTAAAATAAGTAAAATAATAAGCTTTGTTAAAAAAACAATTAATGGATAAAATGGTTAAAAGCTTGGAAATATACGAACTCATTCAATTTGTGTCC